ATTTATGTTTCTATTACAAGCACTGCATTATTAAATAGTACTACTACTACTGTCTATCATTATAAATAAGACTGAAAGGCATTTATTTATAACTCAAAGGCAAATACTTTGGGGCAAATACCCAAACAACAAACACGCAATCCTGTGCCCACTAACACACAAGGAGGTTTGTCTGCACCTATCTTTACTTGGCAGGGATTGCTACTGTCACTGCTACCAACACAGTAATTTTGGCAGCAATAGCAGAGAATATTAACAATGGGGAAACATTACAACTGACAGCAGTTTGATTTCTGCTCTGAAGAAGGTTAAACAAGGCCAGTAACTACAGGAGCTGACTAGAAGCCTTACCTGTGATCACTGATAAGTAAACATAAGCAGAATTACTAAAGGTAAAGAGGAACTGTTGAGAAACACTCAGTGCTTTTGCTTACCGATTGCTAAGCCATCACTAAAGTTGTGAATGCCATCTCCCATAATTACCATCCAAGCAATGTTAGCTATCCCAGTATCTTTCAGGTCTTTTCCAGAATGGCAGTGGCCATGGGAATGATGGGAATGTTTGTGATGCCAGTGGTGACTGTGCTTTCTAGCTATCATTTTATCTTCGCCGTGGCTGTCATACTCTGAGTCGTGCAGATCGTGCTCTTGTGCAGCATGGGAGACATCGTTGTGAGAGTGGTGCAGGTTGTTGTCCTCTTCTACAGACAAGAAGTTTTTGGGAGGGGATTCCAGCTGCCCATCTAAGTCAGTCAGTTCAGTTTCATTCAGTCGATCTTCAGATAACACTGAGTCATCTGCTCCTGCATTGAAGCCAGTTGGGAAAGACACTGTGTTGACTCATATTTAACAACTCACCAGCAACTGCTGCATCACTGAACTAAGAATTAACTGCTCCCCAGTATTTTAACACATCCAAATCTAGTAGCTTTGCTGTCAACAGGCAAAAAAATTGCCATGTTTTTTAACTACTTTGCATGTACAGCATATAAAAGTCTCCACAATCAGGCAACAGCACTGTATCCACAGCACTCAAAACCAGCCTGAGCCCAGCCCAGGCTTGTATCTGTAATTTCGCTCCTGACAAAGTTTATGGTTCAACATTGGCAAAGGAGAGTTGCCAGAATGATAATAATGTCTTATATGATGTAGATGGAATCTGAACGGCTCAGGAAACCTTAACTGGCAACTGGCTACTGCCTACACAGGCCCACACAAGTCACAGCTGAACCTTCACTGAAGCATACCATGACCTGTCACCAACAGAGAAACTAGGTAAAGCTGTGTCAGACACTTGGGTCACACAATGAGCTCCTTCAAGGTACCTCATTGCCCCGCTAGCAATCAGAGCTGTTTGTACAAAGAAATGCAACATGAATACAATACATACAGAATTTTAAGTCTACCAATATTTAAGTATTAATAAATAAATGAAACTGGCAATCTATGCTCCTGGAAACAAAAGCAGTGGGGGGGGGAAAAAGAAAGCAGCTCTGGACAATGAAGTTATTAGATTGCAATAATTCAAAAAAGCCCTTTTTAGAGTCAAAAATGAACAACAAGTAAGAATTAAAAACCACAGTACCTAATCAGCAAAGTGTTTTAGATAGACAGGTTCTTAAACATCATGTGGAGGTGCCTTAAAAAGAAACTGAATGGCCATTCAGCAAAGTGGTAGGAGCACTGCAGTTCACAATTCAGACTCAGCATGGGCTTCCAGTACCCGCAGTGCCAATGATTTACTGAGCAGCAGAGCACACTTGCAGAGGAACTGTAACAAAACCAGTATGTGCCCCATGTTATCAGAAGTAATATTCTTCTGACTGCCCCTTAAAAGGAAGTGAGGCCATTTCAAACCTATGTACCACCATCCACGCAGCTGAAAGACTTTATGTTCTATGTCAATGTCCCAAATACCATTTGAAATCGTTTGAGAGGAGAAAGCTGCAGTCCTAACTGTCCCTTCTACTAACCATTCCTATTAACCAACGTTTGTATAAATACAGCCTATGGATTCTTTGTGAACAAATTAACTCAGCAGCCATGCAGGCAACAGAACTGCAAGGTTATGAAGCAAAGTCCTTTTCCTCCCCTCCTGGCTGGGAGAAGGGGGCTAGGGTGTCCCTTCTGGGTACACACTGCATGAACATTCACAGGCTGTCATGAAGGAACAGTATGTGAAAGTTGGTTTGGATACTTGAGGAATATTCAGGATACTCAGCTGCATTTATGAAAAGAAACAGATTCTATTTAGCCTCCTCAGCCAGACTATAATTGCTGAGATGCTGGAATCTTCAAAGGGAAACAGATATCCCTGTTCAGGGTGTGTGGGTGTTCAGTTTTGATCTAATTTTTGAGCTACTCAGGCACAGCTTAAACAAAAACCACCCCAAAACCAAACAAATCAAAAAACTCCCCAAGTACCACAGCCACCCAGAACCTGACTGCTTCAGAAGTCTGAGAACCATCTGTATGGCACATTAGGAAGTGTTTAGGGTGCTCTCAGATCTAAGGAAAACAAAATCAAAAAAGATTTAATAGGGAAAGCCTATTAAGTCTTATTAACAATGATTTGCATAATAGCAGCAAAACCGTACAAGAGGTTACATGCTACATACCATACCAGAGGAACATGCTGCTACTGTGAGCCTCAGAATGAGGGAAAATTGTGACCAGAAATGCCCACCTGCGAGGGGTTTCAGCTGCAGCCAGTCAGCATCTGGCCTGTTATTTAACTTGTGATCAGAAAGTTTCCTTCCAATGGGTGAGTCTTCAGGCTGGGGCTTTTTGCACCATTTCTGCTTACTCTGCAACAGAAAAGAGGTAACAGCTGGTTTGTAAAACAACACTGATGGAGTTAAAAGGACCTGAAATGTTGTCCAAAAATCCCTTCTAAATACACTAAGTTCGTAACATGTGTAACAGAAGTCTGTTCCTTCAGAATATTGATCTTTTGAAGGCTCAGCAACAATATCTACCCCAGCAGAAATTCTTAACTACCCACCACAGAATCTCACAAACACACACAGGTGATATTTCACATTAGTGAGGGAGCACATTCTGACCAGGATTGCTCTCTCAGTCTAGAAACACATGTATGCAGCAGCTATTATATTTGCTTACTTTGCTCAAGAAAACAAACATGCAGCAAGAACAGCTCCTCTCATTTGTTCAGCCTGAGTTTTCTTATACTCTTAGAACTTCCTTTAAGAAAGTAACAAGGTTTTCTCTATCTGTAGCCCATACAACAGTGATAATGGTTTTGCTAAAGGGGATTTAATTATTTAATGAATCTCAAGGAAGGTATGTGACAGTTTTTATCCCTTTATCAGAAATGCCTCCTCCAACACACAAAACCTCTTGCTGCCTGTCCAGCTGAGACAGCAGGTCTGATGTAAAAACAGAGAACTTGATCACTTATCACAGTAATTTTGGGAGAAGCAGTTATAGTTCCACCAAAGTAATTTTCTCCTCAAAGTCAAATGATTAAGGCAAAAGTTCAAATTGAATTATCATGCACGCTCACACTCTCTGAGGGACTTGCTCTCCTTTTAAACCACCATCATGAATACAGCATGCTCTCAGCCCTAGAAATCCAGTAATTTTTAGAGAGACAAGCTAAAGGTTGAGCGGCAATTTACAGAAAGCAGTAGGTCTGCAAATGTGAGCATTTTCTGGTGTGGAAAACTGGATCTCTCTGTCACACTGGCATTGTTAGTTAATGGTATACTGCTCAATTTCTTGTGAATTGTCTGACAGTTGTTGGCTCAGTAATCACTTCTTTCTTCCATACTGCTTTTCATAATTTGAAGCAAAAAAATAATGATGCTTTAGAGGAAGAGATCTACCTCCAAGATCTATCTGGCCAGAAAGCTACAACTTCCCCCACCAGACTTCTACACTGTTTTCCTAAATAACCTTGTTAAGAAAAGCAACTTCTTTAGAAAATAGACTCCTCACACATCACCAGAGAGAACACACATCAGCAGCACATGTTCAGTAACAAACCACCACACAGACAATGCCTCAACACTCCTCAGGTCACTTCAGGCAATGTGTTTTTAGACACCATGCAATCTCAGTGAGTACCTTTTGCTTGTTGTAATGCTTGTACATCCTTATACAGTGCTCAATGATGAAGAGCACATAAATGCCTCCGAGTGCCACGAGTCCCTTGAGCACTGGGTCGTTTTCCTCCAGGAAGCCCTCGGGCCGCGCCGTGTGCGGGTGGGCATGGTGGTGCGAGCGCTTGTGCTCATGAACGTGGCCCTGGCCATGGTGGTGGCTGTGGTTGTGGCCTCCATGTGACTGTTGGCACAGAAAATAACAGAGGTGAAATTCCTGAGTTGGTACAGGGAGTAGAGTCCCATCTGCATCTGTACTGGGGTTTGAGTCCCCGCTGTGGGTTAAGTCCCACCTGTACTGGGGTTTGTGTCCTTGCTGTGGGTTAAGTCTCACCGTTATCTGTGTTGTGGTTTGAGTCTCCGTCGTGGGTTAAGTCCCACCTGTATCTGCATTGGGGTTTGAGTCCCCTCCGCTAACTCTTAAGGCTTTATGACTTTTGGCATGGAACTCGGCATTGGGATCACGATTCTATGTTTTATACTTATGGCATTGTGTTTCATTAACTGTTTTAAACCTGACTGAATTCCATGTGTGTGTTAAAGAAATTTGTGAGAGGAGACTGCTTTAAGTCTCCTAGAAATGTGGAGCCAGGCAAGTAAAGAAGTCTCTCGAAAGAGTCCACTGAGGTGTGTGCACACTTGAAGTATTTAGGAGTAAACCCTATTGGAAATGTAAGGAAAAAGGGTTGAAAGTAGTTATTTAGGCAAGAAATGCTGACACCATGATGCAGAGTGCTTTGACTGTTAATGTAAGAAACAGGCTGGTTAAGACTGTCCTGCCAGCATGTAAGAATGTGATAATGATCCTCCTGATCAATGAGACAGGGAACCCCCTTGATATGATAATCGAAAAAGTCCAGCAATTAGATGACCTTGGGAATGGAGCCCCAGGGGAAGTGCAGGAAACCAGGAGACAATTCTAAAGGTAGTGAAGCTCAAACATGTTCACAGCTTTACTACAGGATGGTATGTCCCAAGATTGGATCGATGATGTTCTGACCCCTGACTTGTGGAAAATGTGTAAACAGAGGGGATTGAATAAAAGTAACGGGACAGTGTAAATTTCTAACCCAAAAGATTCAACTCAGCCTTTGGCACCTCCTCCTTGAATCTCAGCAGGACTCCAGCTCTGC